ATTCGGAATTTCACAAAAAATTCCAGACTGACTTCTCTTGAAAAAGTTCTATGATTGGTCATTACCCACGACAGCATTGCTCATGGCAACTACAAGTTAGAGCTAATTCTGCCTGATTCCTACTATACAAAGATCAGAATATTATCTACCCCATCAAACAGCTGTGAGGTGACTGTGAGTTAACAATACCTGGAACAAAGTAAGCACTCAGTTTTAGTTCCTTTTATATTTTATGATACTTCACCTTCTTTCTTATAGAGCTGCATGGCATTTTTGACTTTTTTGTTTTTACAAATAAAAGTATACAGTGGGTAATATGACAATATCAAAGAAAGAAATGACTACATGCCAAGATATAAATTTTTAAAAGCAACATGTAAAAAAATACTATGCATATAATGTGCCCATTTTGGTAATGATGTTGGCAAGTCTATGAATAGATAATAATCTAGGTAACTCTGAATTTATAAGGAATAGAAGGTGAAAGAAGCTTTAATTCCCTAAACATAAGGAGCTTGTATATGGTATATAGATTTTTTAACAATATACTTTTATAATCAGGCACTTTTATAAAGCTATTATACAAAAGAAGTAACTCAAAACTAACTTTTAGGCTTTGGGAGATGGTTACAAAACTGCATTAGTTGAATACTAGTATTACAGACTGGTAAAATCAGAGGCTATTTCCTTTGCTTTGAAATTCAATTTTTAGCTTAGATTCCCAAAGCTTCAATCTTTCCTTCTTTCTCATGGAGTATAAGATCCTATACTTTGCAGCTGTTCAACTTGTTCTGGCAGTCAACATCTTTCAGTATCTGTCCGACCCTCATCATCCTTTAAAAAATTCCACTTTAGCCAAAGTAGCTACTTGCATCCAAGACACAGTCACACCATGAAAGTTTTTCTGAATACCATTATCTTTTTTTCACTGTGGTAAAGTTCACACAAAGTAAAAACTCACCATTTTAAAGTGAACAATGACATCTTAGTACATTCATAATGTGGAACTATTAGAGTTCTACAACATTCTCACCAGCCCAGAAGGAAAGCCCATATGCATAAGCAGTCATTCTCTAATACTGCTTCCTCTATTCCCTAAGAAATCACATATGCTTTCTGCCTCTCTGGGTTTGCCTAGTTTGGATATTTCTATTAAAGGAACCATAGAATATATGTGCCTTTAGTATTGGCTTCCTTTACTTTGTATTGTTTTCAAGGTTTATTCATGTTGGAGTTCATTCCTTTATGGCTAAATAATATAGCAGTACCCTCCTATCCTAAGTTTTGCTATCTATGGTTTCAATTATTGGTAGTCAGCCTTGGTTGAAGATAAATGGAACATTTCAGATATAAAAATATATGTATTTTAAAATATACACTGTTCCGGCCTGATGAAATTTCCCATCATTCTGCAACAACATGTCCAGAATATGAATCATCTTTTTCTCTAATGTATTTATGCTGTTGATACTACTTGTCCATTAGTCACTTTTAGGTGGTCTCAGTTATTAGACTGACTGTCATGGCATTATAGTACTATATTCAAGAAATCCTTCCATTGTAGCTTAACACTATGCTACAAAGCACCCAACTTTATTAACTTACATCAGCACAGGAAGAATTGAGAGAGCAATACTGTAAGATATTTTGACAGCTGGGCACGGGTGGCTCATGCCTATAATCCTAGCTACTCAGGAGGCTGAGATCTGAGGATTGTGATTCAAAGCCAGCCCAGGCAGGAAAGTATGTAAGACTCATCTCCAATAAATTACCAGAAAGCCAGAAGTGGCACTGTGGCTCAAGTAATAGAGTGCTAGCCTTGAGCTGAAGAGCTCAGGGACAGCACCCAAGCTGTTCAAGACCCACAACCGACAAAAAAAAAAAAAAAGATATTTTGAAAAAGAGGAAGTCAATAATATTTATATATGTCTTCTAGTATATTGTAATTTTTTGTTGTAGTTGATTGTGGGGATTGAACTCTGGGCCTGGGCGCTATCCCTCAGCTCTTCAGATCAAGGCAAGCGCTCTACTTCAGCCATAGCACCACTTCTGGTTTTCTGAGTGGTTTATTTGAGATAAGAGTCTCACAGACTTTCCTGCCTGGGCTGGCTTTTGAACCATGATCCTCAGATCTCAGCCTCCTGAACAGCTAGGATTATAGGCATGAGACACCAGAGCTCTGCAGTACATTGTAAATGTTTGATTTTATTATCATTAATCTCTTATTGTATCTAATTAATAAAAATGTTAGCAAATGTATGCATGAATGGGAAAAAAAGTATAGTACTTACAAGGTTGGGAGTATCTGTTATTTTCTGAATCAACTAGGGAAGTGTTTTTCCTTCCCCACTGGAGATTTCACCCAGGGCCTCATACATCCTTGGCAAGCTACCACTGAGCAACAACTCCAGCCCTCCACTGGAACATAAACCAAAGGATATGTACTCTAGTGTATGTACATACCACATTTTATTCATCCATTCATTAGTTAATAGATATTTGAGTTGCTGCCACTCTGCAGCAATTGAGAATAGTAGCACACCATTATCTCTTACCTTTCTTTACCTCATAGGCTAACCAAAAGCTAGTTTTCACTTGAGTGTTAGGTCAATTTTCTATTTCCCAACTTAGCCAAACCCAAAGTTCTCAACTTCCTCTGATTTTCTTTGCAAATTCTATAACTGAGATGACAAAGTACCAACAGAGATAGGAACCTTACTCCAAGTTTCACTCAAACTGGGTACTTTTCTTAAATTAGTTAACATTGAAAACTTCATTGAAATATTCTTTAAAGTTCATATTTCCCTTAAAATTTTTGAAAGTCTGACAACATCATTATCCCCTGTCTGGTTTATAGTCACAGTTTAACTCCTTTCACTGCTCTTTACCTCTGTTCCTACAACTGATCTTAATGTAGCAGCCACGTCTCTGCTCAGAACTTCCCAGTGGTGACCCACTTCTATTAGAATAAAAGAAAAAGCCTGTTCCGTGGCCTTATACCTGGTCTTGTGCCCTATTTGCCTTACCATTTTTTCCAAATTGCTCACTTACAGATGGTTTCCTCCTTTCTCTTACTTGCACAGCCAATGCAGACCACATTGGCTATTTGCTCACTCCCAGAGAGAGAGTATGTGTAATGGCTTACTCTTTCACCCTTCATATTCAAATCTTACCTTTTTGCCCCCCAAAGTGACATTTAAAAATTTAAGTACTACTTCTTATCTGCTCACCAATTCTTATCTTGATCTGTTTTTTCTAATTAATAATTATCTAATATAATATATACTGTGTTTACTTATGTTTGTTCTCTTCTGTTTCTTTTGGTTAAAAAGTGTAAGTCAGGTGCCCATGGTTCACATCTATAATTCTAGGAATTGATCACAAAAAGATGATTAAAAATATATGGTCTGTGTGTGTGTGTGTGTGAGAAAGAGAGAGAGAAAGAGAGAGAGAGTGAGGAGAGAGAGAGGAAGAGAGAGAGAAGAGAGAGACCTAAGGCAATTTAGTCATTCCACAGTATAATACAATATGTTGCGTATGACAAATATACATAATTCTTATTTAATTTTTTAAAAAAAGAGTATACAATCAAAAGCAGGATCTTTTATCTCTTTAATTTACTAATTTGTCCTCAGTGTCTAGAAAAGAAGAAAGCACGTTAGCTAGCACTCAGTGAGTGGATACTGGAGCTACAATCAACCAGTGCTTACAAGGGGCTGCCATTTTACATTAAGCATGGAGTTGGCAGTTCCTCACAATTTCATCCTGGCCATTTTTTTTCCTCTTTATACCTGACCCTACAGAATTTTGAGTCTGTGACTCTTCTTTCTCTGTCCCTCCTTCTTGGTATCATATCGATCTTTCCATCTGGTATTCACAAAAGACTGTTATAATTGTTATTCATGGAAATCATCTATTCATTATTATTTCTCACAGCCATCCCTTTACATACAATAGATACTTAGTAATGAGTACTGAATTAAAGAGCTACTTTGGCAATCTGTAAAATTTGTTTCCTCATCTTATGGCTAGTGCTCTACCACTTGAGCCACAGTCTACTTGTGACATTTTGATGTAGAGCAGAAGAATTTTAAGGGCCTATTTTAAGGGTAGAGACTTCATAGCTGCTTAGACTCTTGTTCCTTTAAATGCTTTCTAAACTGTTCTTTTAAATATCTAGAACTATCACATTCTTCCTGAAGCTACGTCTTGGATTGGTAATGGCAGAAACGTTATCTTCACAGATCAATGTGAGTCTTGTACAACATGTTTCCATCTCTGCTGCAGTTGCTTAGAACCTGATTGAGACATCACATTTGTTGCCTAAGTATGATCAATTCCAGAAGCTGAAATTCCTTTAGTTTTCCTGTTTAGGTTCTGTTCAGTTTTAGCCTTCAATGACTCAACTTAAATTGCATATTGAATTTTAAGTCCTCTCATTCCTTTCAGAAGATGAATTTTTAAAAAAAAAAAAAACCCTTTACTCATACTATAAAACTAGGTATTCTCTCCATATAGTAAATGCACAATGGCAAACATGTAGTGAGAAACTCCATTAACAATGGCTTTTTTTAAACAAAATGGCACTACTCATAAGTTCAGAGCTATCTGGGAGCGTGGGCAAAGGCATTGGGAATAGACAGTATTGATGAACTGCTTGGTTTGTAATTGTACCTAGTATCTTCCCTACTCTGAGTAGCTGGGTCTACATTGTGATGGGGAAGAAGAAAGGAAGACCTGAGAGAGCTTCATTTGGAAGAAAACCAGCAGACTTCTGGACAACATCCTAAGAACAAGTGGGTATAGAATGGGAGATAAGTGGTTATCTTATTCTGAAGTCTGCAAGCTTTAACGAAAGTGTGTGGAAGGCAGTGTTATTTATCAGATTTTGGGTTGAGAAACAACATTTAACAGTATCATAGTTTATACATTCATTTTCACTTTATATTAGGAAGATAATACTCAAGATTGTGCTTAAACTTAAGATATTACTGAGTTACCTTTGCTTTGGAGGGCAGGCCAAAATTCTTGATTGATTTACCAGTGAATCTTCATTTGCTACAATTGTGGAAGCACTTTCTTCACAATTCTGTTCAGATTAAAAGAATAATAGTAAATAAAGCAATGGGGTAAAACAGTGGATATAAAGCTAATCAGAAATTTATAATCCTATTAGTTGACAAATGGAAAAAAAAACTTTACATGTGCCTTGAAATGTCAAATTGTTAAAATTCAAGGAGCTTTATCAATTTCACAACAAATGCAACCTCATTCTTTTTACAATAAACTTAACTGACTGTATTTACAATAATAAACCAGGAACAAATGATTGCTTAATATGTACATAGAGTCAACTTCCTGGGGATTAAAATCATTATGCATAATTTTCCATTAATGAGTTTTCACTTAATTAAAAAAAATAGCTATTTGGAAGCCAGTTCCTATGAAAACTACCAGAATCACAGATTTAACACACACACACACACACATACACACACACAGAGTAAGATGATTACTTAGAAAGCTACTTCAGTCCTTTATCATTCAGCAATTTATAAAAGCAATGCAGGGCTGGGAAGGTGGCTCAGTGGTAGAGCACTTACTTTGCATGCTCAAGGCCCTGGGTTCGATTCCTTAGCACCACATAAGCAAAAAGAAAAAAGCCGGAAGTGGCGCTGTGGCTCAAGTGGTAGAGCGCTA